GAAAGGACACTCCCACATTCATTTCCAAAATATAAAAGGAGCTGCCAGTTAGTCATACATTCAGATTTTATTCAGTCAGTTATTCTGTTATTCAATCAGTTGTTCAATAGTTCAGTTATTCGTTCGGCTTTTATTCAGTTATTCAGTCAAACAGTTATTCATTTATAGAGCAAAAGTAGAAACCTATCCAGTATAGTCAGAAATTAATTAGATCAAGGTGAGGACTATCCTCGCGCTTCATCAGAAACGCACTCTTATATTTTTCTTTTCTCATTGTTCTGTTTTTCTTATTAAACGAAAATACTGAATCACATCGGCTGAAATCTAAGTCTCTGCTCTGCGTCTCATTCAATTACATACAAATACATATACATGGGTATCCGAGGGGCTGTTGCGACTGTCGCTGCCAATAGCGTGGCCCCCGTTTCACGGCAGTTCTTCGGAACATTGATAACTCTTTTGTATTACTTCCATGCCTACTAAAGGCAGACTAAGACAGCGAGAGAAGAGATTAAGATTTCAAATCAGCTCTCATTTCAAATCACGATCCTTACCCCTATTTCCAAAAATTAACGCAGTTATTAGATCAAAAGAAACCGGTAGACTCACCCCGCGAACGCGTATATACTCTCAAGCGATTAGAGATCAATCTCACGTTTCCGAATTACAAGAACATTCGAAAAGCCGATCCACGTAGATTCGCCTATAAGCTTCATAATCTTTTTGGCACCGGGTTCAAAATTACCCTTCCGAATAATTATCCAATACTTCCCAGTAAACATTCTTAACCGCACAACTTGATCTCCGATCCCCGGGTAAATTGCTTAAATGCATTGACTCAAAAAACGGAAAAAATCTCAATAGCGTGACGTAACAAGTATTAAAAGCCTTCCTGAATACGCTATCGAATTTTCGAATTCTTAACAAATAAATTCTCTACTAGATAAATAGAAATTTATGTTTCGTGTGTTTATTTGATAAGACAATGCAATATTTTTGCTGCCTTTCGCTTTAACGATACAATTCTCGTGAAAGGAAGCAGCTCGTCGCTTCGCGAATTCTTTGACAGGGTGAATTATGACGATCATTAGGTGGATTGATTTCACCGTCTAGAAGTTTAAATTCAGCGACATTGAATTTCGCGAATTGAACCGCGGCCCATTCGCGTGCGTCGGGTCGTCAATCTTCGTTCCAAGCTTCTCCATTCCCCGTTCGAATATGTCGCAAGAGTTGTCGAATGTAAAAAAAAAAAAGAAAGGAATCTCTCTTAGGCGAATAGCAGAGATTCCGATAGGTTGATCAAATCGAATTTCTTATTTATTTTAGAGAAAACTTTCTTGCGAAATCACGATATTTGTATTGACAACAAAATTTGCTATATGTTATTTCCATAAAATATCTCTCAATGGAGGATCAGATTCTTATTAAATAGCGCTTCGACAAAACAACAGAAAATTCACACATACAGAAAAAATTGTCAGCATTCATTTATACACGCAGAGAATTTTTTCTTAGAATTTACCCTAAAAATATGACAGGCGTGGGACAACATTGTATTTTGAAGAATTTTAATGTACAGTAAATCTCTCTCATTCATTAAGAAAACTACAATAAAGTATAAAATAAGTATAATCAATTTTACTGAAGTGCATGATAAAAATCTTTAAAATATTGTATTGTACCACAATTACAATATTTTGAGGGTAAATTTTAAATGAAAATTTTCTCTGTATAATATAATAAAATACTCGGTTTTGATCACGAGAATCTATCGATTCGAATCGCGAGTCATATTGTATTGACATAGTATATATTTTTCATGGCGTGTGTCAGAAAAGTGGATAAATGTAGATCAAAGTTGAGAATATTAACCTGTGATTATATTTTAAATCTCGCTGAAAAAAAAAGAGAAAGAAAGAAAGAAACACAAAGCTTGACATTTTACATTTATTTTCGTTTTTCTCCGTGAGCTGATTTTTATTTTGGCAATCGGCGAAAATAAAAAAAGAACAGATACTTAGAAAGATTTTCTTGAATAATAATTATTAATATAAGGCCACGCAAAAAACGAAGTGCTCATTGCGACTTCGCCGCTGGCAACAAGCGAAATTAATAAAACGCTACTATTTACGAATGTAATTTGCGGGATGGAATCAACGTCTATTTAAGTTCTGATGAAATTACCAGCCGGTTAGAGACAGATGGAGCTTCAAAGAAATGAGGATAATATTCATTCATAAATTCTGCCTACCTAAGGCGAGTGAGAGTAAGGTGGAAGAGAAGACGCCGCAAGACAGACAGGGATCAGATTGGGGAGGTTGGGAGAGAAATAGGTCAATACTAATTAATCTAATTAACGAGGCCAATTTAAGCCACGAGTCGACTTTAATAGCTTTTTCAGCTTACTTTCGTGAGCAAGGTAATATAATTCTTTGATCGAATCTGTTGGATTAATTCAGGAGCGCGTTGTACAAAGATGGATTTATTCAGATTTAACTAAAATCGGAGAACGTATACTAAATCAAAGAAAGAACTTTTCGTGTTCTCATTTAAATAAAGCATGATTTGGATAACTGTAACGAAGCAGGAAACATGAATAAGGCAACGTTGACCATGTCATTTTCTGAATAGTAAAAAATTTTATTTCTAGAAACTAACTTTATGTATATTCGATAAGATCTGTAAAAGTTTATTTCTGTAGAAATTTGTTTCTTTATGACCAGTATTCTCTCTATAGTTTGTCCTTGCGTTTAAGACCGTCTTAATCTACAATCTTAAAGTATCATAAAAACCAATTACAGAGTCGTAGTGGCATTTTAAGATATTATTTAAGATGATGTTGAATGATTAAAATAGAATATCTGCCTTTGGCATTTATATGTTACGAATTTCTTCCATGATTGAATTTAAGTTTTTTATTTTTACGACGAAACGACGTAAATGATTGACAGTTTCTACCGGAATTACGCAGCTAGTTTCGTATTCTGCGTAAAGTCTGCCAACGCACGCAGTCCATGTCCCTCGCGGTTTCCACTAATTTCGTAACTAATTACGTCTCCTTCGAACTCAGCGGGACCACTGCGGCACGGGAACTATTTCGATCCCTTTGAAAGCTACGTTTCGGTTTTGTTCGAATGGAATGAGAAACCACATCGTGCAACATTTTGGCGAATAACTGCAGGACACGATAAAAAACAAACTGGTATACAGTATGTTTTGGAAAATTCGCGCAGTATTTCACGATGATTATCCTTTGACAAATCCGAAATTAATTTTCTCTTTGCTGGAATATATAGGAAACTTCGTAAACGGGAAATTAATCGAAAATTTAATTAATTAAATTTTAGATGATAAACAATCATAAATAGAAATTAATTGATTAAAATAGTTGCTTTTGTATCAAATATGAAATTTTTACGCTTATTCTATTTCAAATACGACCAATATTGCAAAAAGTACTCAAGTTTTCCGAGAAATACGACATGTGGTGTTTAATTGCGCCGGGTGTTTCGTCGATTTCTGATTAAAATTCCGGGTTCTCGGTAAAAAGGGCTTGGAAGAAAAGAAGCAAATGGATGGTATGCGATTGAAGCCGCATGTGTAGTGCACAATACCGGCCGCAATTCCGTTTGAAGCGACGTTAGTTTTTCAGTGGCGCGGGACACCCGGCCGTCGTTTATTCGCCATCGATCGAACGTTAAATCGTGCGTGAAGAGTGTGTCGCACTGGGATCAGTGTGTGTACGTGTGTATGCACGGGTTTCTGATGGAATGGCGCATTATTTCCGGAGTGGCGGACAACGAGTCTCGAGCGGTACATTAATTGACTATAAATTCAATGCTGTCTCTTTCTCTCCCTCGACGTTAATTCGGCTATCTTGAGAGCGACTTCCGTCGTCCGCGGCCGCTACTCGCGACAAAAGCAACGAATCCGCCGTTAACGAAGTGCCTTAAACACGTGCTACTTAGCGCGTTCAGAGCAACGAAAACAGAACGACGAACGGTTTCCGGAATACTTGGCAAGGGTAATTGATCGTTAAACGCATTTGCATCGCGGCGCGGTCGTTGTTTCATCGCCAGTCAGATAACGATTACGGTATAATCGTCGCGTTTCACAACATCAGAAACAAACGCCACTTTTAATACTTATCAAATGAATGAAATATTCATTCAAAATATATGTGTGTAATATACGTACCCAGTATTTATTTGCAATAAGTTGATTTTTTCATCATTATTACATAGAAATGTATTATTATATATAGTAATGTATTATATATAATAATGTATTATTATATAGAAATTTTGTACTAAAAATATTTTAAATTTATACAACTAGATTGAAAGTATTTTAACGAGTTATTGTAATAAAGGTCCAATCGTGTCTTTTTGCAGGTCGAACGCACGACTCAACTTACACCCTATATAGATTAGGGGAAAGATTGTCTACGGGTGCCAGATTATATGTAGAAACCGGAAGAGCCGATGGATTGGACACGGATGGGGATTCGCCCAACAGCCTTCACTCATTCACGGGTCCTCCGATTCCTCAAGGTGAAGGCACGAGTGTCACACGGGCCTTTTTGGATGGCAATCATACTCTAATTAGCATTATGGCGCGCATCAATCCTAGTCCCGATTGGTTCGTAGGCGTGGATTCCTTCCAACTGTGCGTCGAGGGCAATTGGGTCGATACCGTTACCGTGGAGGTAATTACATTTAGCATTAATACATATGGAAACTCAACGTGCCTGCGATCGAAATTTCTCTCAAAAGAGAAAATTCATTGGTTGCAATGTGGAATATTGTAAAACGAAATGTAGCTGTATTTTTTCAAAAATGCCAATACTACTTTTAATTGTCATACAAATTTAGCCTTATTCATTTTTACGTAACTTGAACTGTTAAGTCCCCGTCTGCAATTTAGATTTTTTTGGCATGAGCGAAATTCACTCTAAAATTTTTTTAATGAAGAGAAAGAGAAGAGCATTTATTAATGCTCTCTATGTTTTTCCTTATTTTTGCTTAAATTTCAATTTTTATTAAATAAAAGTTTTAACATTGAGTTAAAAATCTATTTGGTAAAGTAATAGAGATGTTGAATAACTGTGAATTTTTCCATATTTTTTGAAAGCCTAAAATAATAAAAAATTCGGGCTAAACAAAAAAGATCCCGATTTCAGACGGAAGGAGAGAGAGTAAAAATATGTAATATTAAAAAAATTAGTTTCGCGTTACGCCTATACAGGGTGTTTCCAAATTAAATGGCAAAACTTCGGGAGCGTGTAGAGGAGTTAAAAACTAAGAAAAAAAGTCCTATAGACATATGCTCGTTTTTGCTTTGTTTCGCAGGAAATCACGGAAAAAGAAAAAAATATAATTTAATTTATTATTTTAATTATTTTATTTACAAACTTTTTAATGAAGATTTTGTTCGAAATGTGCACCTCTT